CCCATGGGGAAGGTGGGCAGGCCCTGTAGCCTTAGATGACAAAGCACAGTTATCTTTCTTCTTGAAGTCTTGGCACGACGTCTTTTGTATGTCACATTTCAGGCTGAAACTCTCAAATGGGTTGACCTGAATTGATCACATTGGTTTGTTAGGGCCACCGTAACAAAGTCCCACAGACCAAGGGGCTTAACCCACAGACGTGGCCAGAAGTCTGAGATGCAGGTGTGGGCAGGGCTGGTTCCCCCGAGGCCTCTCTTCTTGGCGCGTAGATGCCGTCTTCTCCCTATGTCCTCACGTGGTCGTCCCTCTCTGTGTGTGTCCTCATTTCTTCTTATAAGGACGCCAGTCCTATGAGATTAGTGCCCACTCTAATGACCTCATTTTATCTTAATCACCTCTTTAAAGGCTCTCTCTCCCAATACAGTCACGTTCTGGGGTACATTCTAGGGTTTAGGATTTCAGCGTAGGAATTTGAGGGGCGTAGTTGAGCCCATCACACTGATCAGAACCGAACTAGCCACTTTCTGGTTTGCACGGCGGTCCACACAGTCATTCACCCGTTTCCCTGACTGCCCATTGGGCGGCAGCAAGACCACGTCTGGCCTTTGAAAACCACAGAACACGGGGCCATGGGGCAGCCGTTGGCTCAGGTCAAACAAAGTGTATTTGCACGTGTCTGGGCAAGAGATCCTCTCTGTATTGATGGGCAGCTCACTTCCTGACCAAGTCAGAACTGAAATGAAGTGAATATTCTTTTCTGACTGTTGGGCTGTGAGATCTCCAGCTCACATTATGAGCACACACTGTGGGAGAAATGCCTGCGTGTGGTTGTGGACTGAAATAAAGTGTTTGTGGCACAGACCCAAGCAGAAGCATGTGCTGCTCATCTGCAACACAATGCCTTCGTCCTTGTTCCAGCTGCACAACCCCAGGGGGCGCCGGTCCGCCTGCTGTATACTTAGGCTTGTGGATTTGTCACAGCAGGTGTCCAGCAGGTGGCAGTAAAGTACTTGAAGGAAGAAGCACCTTTTCCCCAACTCACACCCAGTTATGTGGTCGGCCGGTGTGGGGCGGATGCTCGGCGTAGCTGGGGTGAACCCCAAATCTTGTGGGGAGCATTCTCCAGATACACGTGCCTGGGAGATTCGCAGGCTGTAGGTGTGGGGTGTAGCCCCCCACGCACGTGCATTTTCCAAAAAGCATCTTGGAAAAATGGTTAAGATACGTGAGTTTGGGGGGCGCTGTTTGTCTTACGTTCTGGTTACTCTCTGACCTCTGTCAACCCTTTTAAGCTCCCTCCTCATGGTCAGAAACCACGACACTCAAAGAAAGGAAAAAGGGTTACTATGGCTTATCTTGGGGGAGGACAAATTTCTTCCTTCGGTACGCTTTGAGGTCTTTGTGTCGAGCAAGGACTCATTTCTCTTTTTAAACTGTAAATGACTATTTCAGTTTCAAACTTACAGAAGAGTTGCAGGAAAAGTTCAAAGAACTCCACATCCCCCTCACCAGTGACGACGTTTGAGCTTTGCCAAGTGTCCCGATAATGTCTCTTATCCTAAAAGGATCCCATCTGGGACCCCGGATTGAGCCCCTGGTTCTGGGAGAGTTCCTCAACCTTCCTTCGATTCTCACGGGACGTCTGAAGATTACGGGGCCGTCATTATGGCGGTCGTGTCTCAGTTTGCGTTTGTTCGGTGTTTCCTCCTGCTGAGAGCCAGGCTGTGTTCCCGTCATTGCATCCTCTCAGGTGGCACTCAGGTGACCATTTGCCTGTCACTGGTGATGACAGGCAACACTGCTCTGCCCACCTGATCAGGTGGGGTCTGCCAGGTCTCCCCACCGTTGTTTGTCTTTTTTGCTTTGTAATGTAAGTATTTTGCGGGGTCTTTGAGCCTGTCTAAAACCCTGTTCCTCATCCCCATTCACCTGCTAGTTTTAGCCCCCCCTGGGTGTTTCTTGCCTGGATTAATTATTACTATCACGGTTGCTAAATGGGATTATCTCCTCCCTTCCTTGTTTCTTCACTTACGAGTTGGCTTTCTGTTATCAGGAAGAGCTTTCTCTTGTTCATTCATTCATTCATTCACTTATTGTACTATGGCCTCGTGAATTTCTATTTATTCACCAAGTAGCCATCTCTTTCTGAGGTGATGGCAGCCCCTTCAGGTTGGCTCCTTTGTCCTTTGGACACGTCCCCATCATCTTTGGAGCACTTCTTTCCTTCTCGCTCAACAAGGTATCCCAGCTCATTTCCTTTTCCTTCAGCCCTGGAATCAGCCATTTCTGCAGGGAGCCCTGGGTCCTTTGAGTATAGAGTGGTATTTAGAACCCAAGATCTGGGTGCCAGGTGTGCTCACAGCTCCCGGGCTCTGAGGAGGGAGAGAGAGGGTCATATGTACACGTGTGCACACATGTTTCTGCTTTTATTTCTGTCTATATTGAAAACCACGTGTTCACACTGATGCCTCCCACTCCAGTGCAGCCCCACAGAGATCATTCCAGTTTTCTCCTGCACCTACTGCGTTAGTCACTCCCTTCTTTGACAGTGAGAAGCCGGCGCCCGCTTTCTTTCATTTATTCGCTTCTTGCTCAGCCCCCTGAATGCAGCCAGTCAGCCACCAGCTTGGTCGGATTCCCGCACCGCCCCCCCCCCCACCCCTCTTCCTCAGCAAGCACGACCTCTGTCGTGTAACGACCAGGGAGCTGGAGGCAGAGACTCTGGCTCTTTTGAAGGAGTGAATGGTAGAATTTAAGCTTGTGGGGTTCTGGGAGATTTCGTTTTTGTTTAGGGCTTTGATGGATTTCCTGAATTGTTTGTTTTAAACAAAAGGCACAGAGAAGGAAGAACAGAGTGGGAAGGAAGCCCTGTGGTTGCTCAGAATTGACAGCTCTGTGTCATCTCTTAGCATGGATCCCGTTGTGACCCGTGGTGAGGAGGGAGTGACATCAGCCCACTGATGTGACATAAAACCTCGTCACTTCAGATTCGGGGGGGAAGGGAATGAGGGGTCTGGATGGGTCGTTCTGTGTTTTTATGGTCATGTAATTCTCTTCTCTGTTGATGAGAGAGCAATTAAATTAAGCTGTCACGAAGTCTGGCCTCCTAGCAGTCCTTTGAGGAGAACCGAGGAGCCAGGGCTCCTTCCATTTAAGGAACAGAAATCCCAACTCAAAGTAGTTTAATGGGAAAATAAAAAGTATGCCTCATCTTTATGTGCTGAAAAGTTTAGGCATAGTTGTAGCTTCCCAGGGCCTGCCCAGCGTCATCTTGGCTGTGTGTGTGTGTGTGTGTGTCTTTATCTTTGTGTCCCTGTCTCTCTTCCATTCTTCCTTCCCTTCCTTCGCTCCCATGCGTCCCTTCTTCTGCCTTAGTGGGCCCCAGCAGCTCTGGGGGTCTGTAGTTTTTCTGCTGGCCATCCTGGAAGAAAGTTAGAATTGGCTTTCCCCGTCATCCTGACAGATGTTCCAGCCTCGGGTCCGTACTGGCCCCTTGGGTCACCTGGGCACCCCCAGCCCATGCCTGTGGCCACAAGGTGGAATATGCTGGTCGCTCAGGCCTGTGTCTTGTGCTGCTGGCATGGTGTGAGGTGGGCCCCCTTAGGCCTCTGAGAGCAGACTGGAGCTGGCCCCTAAAAGAAAATGCAGGTACCGTTGCTCCAAGAAGGGAAAGTGGGGGCTGGGGTGGTAAGCACAGCAATATCTACCGCCAGGATCTGCTCCATAAATTAATGAGATTATGCGAGGCACAATGATTGTGGATGTTTCTCAGTTTTTTTAAAGCTCATCCAATTAATCGTTTCAGCATCTTCGCTGTCATCTCCCCTCACTGCTAATTGGCGGGTGTAGCGGTGCAGAGGTGCATTTCCCTCAGTCTGTCTCCAGGATCAGACATGCATGATTAAGGAGAGTGCCTTCCGCTGGCTGCTGTGCGGCCTGGCCCTGGCGTGGCTGTGTCCTCCCCACCCTCGGGGTGAGGAGTGTTAGCACCCCCATTTCCCTGCCTTTGTGTTGTCCCATCCTGATTGTCCCCCATCACGGGGACAGTGGGTCTCATATCTTCCATGCTCCCCATCGCTGGCCGCATGCTGGCCTTTCCCGAGGGGCCAGGAAGTGCTGGTGGATGGAGCGGGGGTGAGTCGGATCTGACTTGCTGCCCAGGGTCCGGGGCTGCCCTGGCATTGGAACAGCGGGCTGGCCCCTCTGCTGGGGCTGCACGGCAGCGGGGTGCCTTACTCCCCATGAGCAGGACGGGGAGGGTTGGCTTGGCACCGAGCATCGCTCGAGGCCCTCTGGGTCCTTATCCCACGTGATTCCCATATGAACCCTGTGAGGAGTGGGGTTTCTTCTGTTGACGCGTGAAGACACAGGCTCAAGGTGAAAGTCGTGGAGGTAGAAGGTCCGTGACCTGGGTCCGTATCGGTTTGACCCCAGAGCCCTATTGGTCCATCAGTCGCACACAGCACCCCTTAGAAGGGCTCAGAAAGGAGTCAGTCCCTCTGAGCTCCCACCCCGCCTGCCTCCTCCTCAGGGGGTGGGGTACATCTTAAAGTGGTAGCAGGGCCGCCCCTCTCCTGGGGGAGGTCAGCCGTGGGCTCCCTTTCCTGGACACGGCAGGGGGTGTTTGCACCCTCCTGGCCATTTTCACCGTAAGCAATGCCAGGGATGGAGCATCCTGGTTCCAGTTCCTGGGGCTGGTCCCTGAGCCTGGGGAGTCCCCGTGTCTCTCTGGGCCTCTAGGTGCTGGGTCCCAGTGGCAGGAGCGTCGGGGCCCCTTGCAGGCCCCCTGTCAGCAGCTGTCGTGAGCTCCTTCTCCCCAATCCCCGCCTGGGCTCTGGCGCCCCCGTGAGGCTTAGGGCACGGCACGTGCTGGTGTGTCTGGGGCCCTGCTCTGGGACGGTTGGTGGGCTGAGGTCTGCCCCATCGGCGGGTCCGCGGGAGGTGGCTGAGCGGCACAGGCGCTCGGTGCCTCCCGGGTCACAGGTGGACTCTCGTTGCAGGCCTGCAGGTATGGACACGTGCAGCACCTGGAGCACCTGCTCTTCTACGGGGCGGATATGGGTGCCCAGAACGCCTCGGGAAACACCGCCCTGCACATCTGCGCCCTGTACAACCAGGTCAGTGGTGAGGACCCCACCGGGCACGCACGTGGGGGCCGGGGGCTGTGCTGAGCGCTCTGCGGGGGTGGGTGTCCCAGCTCAGGTGCCGTAACAAAGTCCCACAGGTGGGGGCTTAAATGACAGACACTTATTTCTCACACTCCTGGAGGCTGGACATCCAAGGTGAAGGGGCTGGCCTGTCCGGTTCCCGGTGAGGCCTCTCTTCCTGGCTTGCAGACGGCCACCGTCACAGACATGATGTCTCCTCTTATAAGGAGACTAACCCTATCAGATCAGGGCCCCTTCCTCATGACCTCATCTAGCCTTAATTACATCCTAAAGACCCCGCCTCCAAATACCATCCCATTGGAGGTTGGGACTTCAGCGTATGAATCTGGGGAACATTCAGTCTGCAGCAGGGCGCTGTCCTCATCTTCTTCGGGGAGAATGTTATCCCTGTTGGAGAAGGGGGGGAAATGAGTCACAGTGAGAGAGAGGGAGGGTCCCGGGCATGGCTGGTAAACACGGGTCTGCTCGACTCCAAGGGCGGGCCACCACCCTGTCCACTTTCCAGGAAATGCGTAAGGACCCAGGATCCTCTTGTTTTCACCCTCCGTAGCTGGGGGTGCCAGCTCTGCGCTTAGCGGGTCTCAGGCCTCCCCACAGTGGGTCTCCGCTGGGCGTGGGGGGCGGAGTGGAGTGTGAGATGGGGAAGGGTGTGGCTGATCGAGCCCGAGAGATGGTATCTGCCAGACTCTGAGGGGAACCCCACACAGCACAGACACGCCTTACCACCACCGCATGTGCAAACGTGCCCCCGATGGGCTTTTTCATTTTAATTGTGGTAAAATATACATTAAAAAAAAATGCTACCGTCTTCACCATTTTTAAGCGTGCAATTCACAGTGTCGTGCAACCATCGCCTTTGTCCATCTTCAGAACATTCCATCTTCCCAAACGGAAACTCTGTCAGCATTAAATACTCACTCCCCATCACGCCCCAACCCCGGCCCCTGGCGCCCACCACCCTACTGTCTGACTCTATGGACTTGACTCCTCTAGGGCCCTCATGTGAGCGGAATCATACAGGATTTGTCCTTTTGTGACCGGCTTATTTCATTCATCATGATGTCCCCAAGGTCCACCTATTTTATAGCACATGTCAGAATTTCCTTCTTTTTTAAGGCTGAATTATATTCCATTGTATGGATGGACCCCATTTTGTGCATCCCTCCATCCATCGACAGACACTTGGGCTGCCTCCACCCTTTGGCTGTTGTGAACGATGCTGCTGTGAACGTGGGTGTGCAAATATCTTTTTGAGACTGGCTTTCGGTGCTTTTGGGGACAGTCCCACAGGCAGACCCTCGACGTGAACAGTCAAATAAAGCACACACTCTTCTGTGCAAGATGGATCGTGAAAACTGTGTAAAGACGTGTTTGGGAAGCACTGAGGCATGTGGGGTGTGACCCCTGCCCTCTGGGAGTGTGAACCCTACATGGCAGGGGGCCGGCACCACTGCATGGTGTGAGCCCCGTGCTGTGCGTAGGCGGGTAAAACGAGAGAGCTGCTGTCCCGCCGAGATGGGGCAGTGGTGAGGCCTGCAGGTGCTGAGAAGGCCCATGGAGGAGGAGAGGGGGCAGGCTCACGGGGATGGGGGTGGCCGGTGCTGCTTCAAGGGTGGGTGGTATCTTCCTCGGTGCTCAAGGTCCGGGTGACTGCTGATGTCACTGTTGTCGGTCTTCCCCACCCCTGCTTTCCTTTATTCTTCTCCTGCTCCACTTTCAAGGAATCTCAAGTCTGGAGGGTGGTGGGGTGTATGTGCCATATGAGCAGACGAGCAGGATGGATTCAGGGGCTCCACCACCTGGAGGAACAGAGGAAAGCTCATGGATTAGGGTATCTGCTGGGGGTCCCCAAGCTTGTGTGCTCTGCTTGTCCTCTCTCTGCCATCAGCATTATCTTTCCAACCCAAAGCAATGATTCCATCTTTTTGGGTGGGATCTCCAGCCTTTGACTCCACCCAAGTCCTTTCCCTGCCCACTCCATGGCCACTCCCCAGCCCAGGACCCTCCAGCCACTCTGAAGTGCCATTTTTGCTTCTGGCTATTAAACCCTCCTGGATTCTTTGGTCTGGAGAACTCCTATGCATCCTTCAAGACCCAACTGAGATATCCCGCCCTCAGTCAAGCCTTCCCTTGATGAGCCCTTGATAGAGTTACTTGTATTTTTTGCTCTGCAGCCCTTTGTGAGACAGCCAGGCTGCACTGCCCAGGATGAGGCCATTATTATGCCTGACTTGTCCTTGCTGGGATCTCCTCCCCCCTGGGCCCACCTTCTCAAGGGCATAAACTGCCATCTTTCAGGGTCTCCCCTGTGCCTGGCACAGGAGAGCAACTTAGCCAGATGGGGTTGGGGTAGCCTTGCACCTGGGCTTCAGGGGGCATTTTTGGGAGCTGCTGGCTTCCTTCTTCACAAAAGCACATCGTTGGGCTCTGCCTGCAGCTGGTCGCTAGGTGCCCCCTGACCCCCGGCATCTGGATGTTAGAATGACTCTGAGCCTGGAGACTCCTTGCTTGGCTGCATTAGAAAAACACACATCATGAGGCTTGGCTTTGCTGCTAAAACATCTGTGCCAACACACGCTTCTTAATTGCTGCCTTAGAGGACGAAAACGTTCCTTAATTTTCCCCAGTAGACTTTGAGCATATTTTATCATGGAAAAAAAACCCCAGGAAAAACATGTTTTCTGTCACTGGAAATAATTGTGGACAAGATGATCTTTGAGAGTGTTAGTGGTTTTTTTTTATTAGAAGAGATGGAAGCATTTTGTTAGTCTGTATTCTGAGGTTGTTTTTTTTTTAAGGTGTGCTTTTTGGTGAGGAAGATTGGCCCTGAGCTAACATCTGTTGCCGATCTTCCTCTTTTGTTTTTTTCCCCCTGGAGCCCCAGTGCATAGTCGTATACCCTGGTTCTAGGTCATTCTAGTTCTTCTGTGTGGGACACTGTCACAGCATCACGGCTTGATGGGCGGTGTGTAGGTCCACGCCCAGGATCCGAACCAGCAAACCACCGGCCGCGTAAGTGGAGCGCACGAACTTGACCACTCGGACACGGGGCGGGCCCTGTATCCTGAGCTATGAACGGGGCTGGTTTGACTGGGGTCAGTCTTCATGCTCCACGTTTGTCCCCACCTCTCAGCTGATGGTCCTGGGAGGACCCAGCGCTGGCTGAGGCTCTCAGGAGCACCCTCCCCCCTCATACCTTAGGTCAGAAGAGAGGCCAGCAGACTTTTCCTGTAAGGGGCCAGTTAGGGACTGTTTTCAGCTTTGTGGGGCCCGTGGACTTGGGCAGGGCGGCTCAGCTCTGCCGTTGCAGTATCGACTCAGCCACAGACAATAGGCACATGAACCAGTGTGGCTGGGTGCCACTAAAACTTTATTTCCAAAGCAGGCAGGGGGCCACAGGTTGCCAAGCCTGGGCCCAGAAGACTGCGTCTGCTTGCTCCCCAGACCTAAGTTATGCACACACGGCCAGCTCCAGGGCCCAGCCACTTCCTCTTGGTGGGCCAGGAGGCCTCTGTAGGTGCATGAGAGCTGCCCCCTCTCCAGGGCCCGGGCTCACCGCGGGCAGCCTGCTGCGGCTCCAGCTCCAGCCGTGTGTCCCTCCTCTGTGGCACGGGCAGAGATGCCGTAGGTGGCACCGCCTGGTTTGGACTCCCTGCCTTGCATTACCTCCCGGGGGCCATTGTGTGTTGCGGCTTGGTGGCCCCACACGCCCTGGACACTGTGTCTTGTCGGGAGGTCAGCGAGGGCTCTGGGATCCAGCCTCCTGAATCACTCGTGTGCCTCCCTGGGATGCGTCTGTGGGTCTCTAATCTCCTCTCTCAGGCCCTCCCTAACTGTTGGGGTGTCTCACTGATGTCGTAAGAGAAGCCGGTCCAGGACGCCTGGCAGTGTGGTTCACAGAGGCACATCCTCCCGGCTCCTCATGAACTGTCCAGGAGGAGTGGAGGGCCCCAGCTTCAGTCGGGCACCCCCTGCTCATCGGACTTAACTTAAAGCTCTGTCCTCCGCCTGTGCCCAATGCGCTGAGCTCCTCTCTGTCCCCAGCTCCCCATTTATACACACATGTGCTGCTCGTGGCTGCATCCAGCAGGCTCAGGGCAGGCAAGAGAAACCACTCGGCGACTTTATGCAGAAAGGGGTGTCATACAGGGCAGGCATCCAGGGCCCTCTGGGGAACAGTGTTGAGAAAGAGACTGTCCCCAGGGTGGGGATGCAATGCCTTCGAGTCAGGATAGGATTCAGGGAAAGGAATCAGGAAGCAGCCTCAGTGAAGTGGAGCTGCAGTGCGAGCAGACGGGGCAGTCTGGGTTCCACTTGGTCTAAACCATTACCTTGCTGTGTTGTCTTAGGCAACCCACTGTCTCTCTTGGGCTCTGAAATCCCTCATCTGTAACGTGGGGATAATTTATACCTAACTCTCAGGGTTGCTAAGAGGCTTAAAATAGAAAACAGACATATGGTATGCTCGGTAGATGCTCAGTAATTAGTGGCTATATTGGTGATGGTGGTGATGGTGATGATGATGGTGATGGTTATGATGATGATGGTGATGGTGATGATGGTAGTGGTGATGGTGGTGATGGTGATGATGATGGCGATGGTGATAATGATGTGCTGATGATGGTGATGATGGTGATGATGATGTTGGTTATGATGGTGATGATGATGGTGATGATGATGGTAGTGGTGATGGTGATGATGATGGTGATGATGATGGTGGTGGTGATGATGATGGTGATGGTGATGATGATGATGGTGATGATGATGATGGTAATGATTGTTTTGATGGTAATGAATGATGGTGGTGATGATGGTGATGGTTATGATGGTGATGTGGTGATGGTGGTGGTAGTGATTGTGGTGATGGTGGTAATGACGGCGATGGTGATGATGGTGTGGTGATGGTGGTGGTGATGGTAATGATTGTTTTGACGGTAATGAATGATGGT